GGGCTGTACTGGGACATACTGGGCTGTAGTGGGCTATACTGGGCTGTACGGGGGCTCTATTGGGACATACTGGTCTGTACTGGGTTGTGCTGCTGGGTCTACAGGGCTGTACAGGGACATACTGGGGCTCTATGGGGCTGTACTGGGACATACTGGGCTGTGCTGGGCTCTACGGGGCTGTACTGGGACATACTGGGCAACAGTGGGCTGTACGGGGCTGTACGGGGGCTGTACTGGGACATACTGGGCTGTGCTGCTGGGCTCTACGGGGTTCTACTGGTCCATACTGGGCTCTACGGGGCTGTACTGGGCTTTATTGGGCTGTACTGGGCTCTACGGGGCTGTACTGGGACCTGTACTGGGTCGGCGTGTGCTGTACTGGGCTGTACTGGGCTCTACGGGGCTGTACTGGGACATACTGGGATGTACTGGGCTGTGCTGCTGGACTCGACGGGTCTGTACTGGGACATACTGGGATGTACGGGGGCTCTACTGGTCCATACTGGGCTGTAGTGGGCTATACTGGGCTGGACGAGGATGGATGGGGGCTCTACTGGGACATACTGGTCCACACGGGGCTGTACTGGGCCATATTGGGCTGTACTGGGACATACTGGGCTGTGCTGCTGGGCTCTACGGGCCTGTACTGGGACATACTGGGCTGTAGTGGGCTATACTGGGTTGTACTGGGCTGTACGGGGGCTCTACTGGGACATACTGGTCCGTACTGGGCTGTGCTTCTGGGCTCTATAGGGCTGTACTGGGACATACTGGGATCTACGGGGTATGTACTGGGGCATACTGGGCTGTGCTGGGCTCTACGGGGCTGTACTGGGACATAATGGTCCATACTGGGACATACTGGTCCACACTGGGCTGTGCTGCTGGGCTCTATAGGGCTGTACTGGGACATACTGGGATCTACGGGGTATGTACTGGGGCATACTGGGCTGTGCTGGGCTCTACGGGGCTGTACTGGGACATACTGGTCCGTACTGGGCTGTGCTGCTGGGCTCTACAGGTCTGTACTGGGCTGTACTGGGCTGTACAGGAGCTCTACTGGTCCATACTGGGCTGTGCTGGGCTCTATGGGGCTGTACTGGGCTGTACTGGGACATACTAAGCTGTACTGGGCTGTACGGCGGGCTCTGCTGGTCCATACTGGTCTGTACTGGGCTGTGCTGCTGGGCTCTACAGGTCTGTACTGGGCTGTACTGGGCTATATGGGGCTGTGCTGGGAGATACTGGGCTGTGCTGGGCTCTACGGGACTGTGCTGGGACTTACTGGGCTGTAGTGGGCTATACTGGGCTGTACGGGGGCTCTACTGGTCCATACTGGTCCATACTGTGCTGTGCTGCTGGTCTCTACGGGGCTGTACTGGGACATACTGGGCTGTACGGGGTATGTACTGGGACATACTGGTCTGTACTGGGCTGTGCTGCCGGACTCTACGGGGCTGTACTGGGACATACTGGGCTGTAGTGGGCTATACTGGGCTGTACTGGGCTGTACGGGGGCTCTATTGGGACATACTGGTCTGTACTGGGCTGTGCTGCTGGGTCTACAGGGCTATACAGGGACATACTGGGCTGTACGGGGTATGTACTGGGACATACTGTGCTGTGCTGGGCTGTACAGGGGCTCTACTGGGACATACTGGTCCATACTGGGCTGTGCTGCTGGTCTCTACGGGGCTGTACTGGGACATACTGGGCAACAGTGGGCTGTATGGGGCTGTACGGGGGCTCTACTGGGACATACTGGTCCATACTGGGCTGTGCTGCTGGTCTCTACGGGGCTGTACTGGGACATACTGGGCAACAGTGGGCTGTATGGGGCTGTACGGGGGCTCTACTGGGACATACTGGTCCATACTGGGCTGTGCTGCTGGGCTCTACGGGGCTGTACTGGGACATACTGGGCTGTAGTGGGCTATACTGGGCTCTACGGGGCTGTACTGGGACATACTGGGCTGTAGTGGGCTATACTGGGCTCTACGGGGCTGTACTGGGACATACTGGGCTGTAGTGGGCTATACTGGACTGTATGGGGGTTCTTCTGGGACATACTGGTCTGTACCAGGCTGCGCTGCTGGGCTCTATGGGGCTGTACTGGGACATAATGGGCTGTACTGGGACATACTGGGCTGTGCTGGGCTCTACGGTGCTGTACTGGGACATACTGGGCTGTAGTGGGTTATACTGGGCTGTACTGGGCTGGATGGGGGCTGTACTGGGACGGACAGGGGCTGTACTGGGACTTACAGGGGCTGTGCTGCTGGGCTCTACAGGGCTGTACTGGGACATACTGGGCTGTAGTGGGCTATACTGGGCTGTATGGGGGCTTTACAGGTCCATACTGGTCCATACTGGGCTGTGCTGCTTGCCTCTACGGTTCTGTACTGGGACATACTGGGCAACAGTAGGCTATACTGGGCTGTACGGGAGCTCTACTGGTCGGGCTATACTGGACTGTATGGGGGTTCTTCTGGGACATACTGGTCTGTACCAGGCTGCGCTGCTGGGCTCTATGGGGCTGTACTGGGACATAATGGGCTGTACTGGGACATACTGGGCTGTGCTGGGCTCTACGGTGCTGTACTGGGACATACTGGGCTGTAGTGGGTTATACTGGGCTGTACTGGGCTGGATGGGGGCTGTACTGGGACGGACAGGGGCTGTACTGGGACTTACAGGGGCTGTGCTGCTGGGCTCTACAGGGCTGTACTGGGACATACTGGGCTGTAGTGGGCTATACTGGGCTGTACGGGGCTGTACTAGGACATACTGGGCTGTGCTGGGCTCTGCGGGGCTATACTGGGACATACTGGGCAACAGTGGGCTATACTGGGCTGTATGGGGCTGTACTGGGACATACTGGCCTGTAGTGGGCTATACTGGGCTGGACGGGGCTGGACGGGGGCTCTACTGGGACATACTGGTCTGTACCAGGCTGTGATGCTGGGCTCTACGGGGCTGTACTGGGACATACTGGGCTGTACGGGGTATGTACTGGGACATACTGGGCTGTGCTGGGCTCTACAGGGCTGTACTGGGACATAATGGTCCATACTGGGACATACTGGTCCGTACTGGGCTGTGTGGGGCTGAACTGGACCATAATGGGCTCTAATGTGCTGGTCTGTACTGGTCCATACTGGTCCATACTGGGCTGTGTGGGGCTGTACTGGGGCATCCATACCATACTGGGCTATACTGGTCTGTACTGG